TGCCTGGGGACCAGAGGAGGGGCTGCCCAGGCCACCCCTGCAGCCAGCAGGGCCTCCGGCCTCCTTTCCCTGGTGGGAGGGCTTGCCGTGCCCCTGGGACCCAMCAGCACAAAGCCATCTCCTGGATGAGCTGGTGGCTAGACACGGAGGCGGGGGACAGGCCGGGAAGGGGGGCTGGCTGGCAGCGGTGGCTGACTCCCAGGAAGCCTGCTGGCCTCCAACTTGCGGTCCTCTGGCCTGGGCCACCCCAGCTGCTAGGATGACAGGGTTCCCGTGCGCCCAGCTGCGTGGCTGTCCCTCGCATGGCCCCGGGGTGGACCTGCCCCCTCCGGTGTAAATGCCACCATCAGCACCTTCCCCACCTGGAGCACGGGTCCCAGGGGGTGGGGCGGGGCGGGCTTTGCCAATGTGAGGTCTGTGGTGTCCCTAACACCTGGCATGCAGCAGGTGCTCAATAGATCCAGTGGCTGTGGGAGTGAGTGGATGAGTGTCCTCCTTTCTTAGGGAGGGCAGGGCGGGTCCTCCCTCGTGTCGTCTGGAGGCCACCCCCAGAGCAGAGGCCAGACTTCCCGGAACAGCCCTGGTGTGGGAGGAGCGGGCGGCCTCGGGGAAGAGGCTCAGCATTGCCCAAGAGGGGATCAGAGTCCCTGGGCCTCCCTGCCCGCCCGCCACACCCGCGTCACGAGGGAGTTGCTCATGGCCTGGCAGTGCTCCAGGAGGGTCCTGAGAGGAGGGGGAGGAGGGAGAAGGCAGGAGCCTCGCTGCGTGGACTCCCTCCTTGGTCCCCCAGAACGTCCCTAAAGGGAAGCGTGTGAGCCCCTTGGGGTGAGAACACCCAGGAGAGAGGAGGGGCACAGGTCATCTGGAGGGGGCCCTGGGGGTGGCCTCCCCTCCTGGCTTGAGGCAGGCAGTGGCCACCGGGAGTCACACCCCTCCCTGCCCCTCTGTCCCCATGCACCCGGGTGCACCCTCAAGGCATGACCAGATTGGCACCAGGGCCAAAGGGCTGAGGAAACGGAAAAAGGACAGGTGGCATTGACTGGGCGTCACGAGACGTCCCGCAGACACAGTCACAACAGTGGCAGCCGGGAGCTCAGGGCCTCGCCAAATTGCTGAGGCTGGCTTTGAACTCCCGATCCTCCTGCCTCAGCCTCTGTGGTGGCTGGGACGGAGGCGTGGCCACTGCACCTGGCTCCACTTTTAGTTTGAATTAATCAAAATGAAATAACATTGAAAATCCAGTTCCCAGTTCCATGTCCCTCCTCCAGCTATTCAAGAGTCACCTGTGGCCTGTGATCCTGTTCTGAAAGGGTGGCTCCCAGCAAGGTGCAGGGGCAAGTAATCCCAGCCCTCAGGAGGCTGAGGCAGGAGGATCACGAGTTCAAACCCCATCTCAGCAACTCAGTGAGGCCCTAAGCAACCCAGCGAGACCCTGACTCTAATAATAAATATATAAAAGGGCTGGGCGCGTGGCACAAGCCAGTTATCCCAGGGGCCTGGGAGGCTGAGGCAGGAGGATCATGAGTTCAAAACCAGCCTCAGCCAAGGCACAGTAAGCAACTCAGTGAAATCCTGTCTCTAAATAAATACGGAAATAGGGCTGGGGCTGGGGCTCAGTGGCCAAATGCCCCTGAGTCCAATCCCTGGTTACCCCCCCCCAAAAAAAAACCAGAAAGTGTGGGTCCACTGTATTAAGGCCGACACCAGCAAGACCCGCCCAGGAAGGCTGAGAACCGGTGTGTTGCTCTTCTGGTTTTTGCAGCTCAGGGCTGGACCAGGGCCTGGAGCCTGCTGCGCCAGCGCCACCACGGAGCCCCGCCCCAGCCCATATTAATTCTTTGGTCTTGCAAACCACGTGGCTTCTGCCAAGATGCCTCCACTGGGCAGATGCAGCTGGGAAGGCTACAGACGTGCACAGCGAGGGCGGGGCCGGGTGCCAATAAAGCTTTATTTATAAACACAAATGAGGGCAGGGTCCGCCTGGGGGGCTGAGGCGTGGAAAGAGCACAGAATGACATTTCAACGAGTCTCCGTGCCCCTCACCCAGGTCCCTGTGCCTGGAGCAGGGCAGACACTGCAGCGGTCCCCTGGGTGGCTGCCTGCCACAGAATAAAGAGACTCCTGGCACCGGTGGCCCTGCGAGCACCGTCTGTCTCCGGGGCTGGGCATTGAACCCGCGTCCAGCGCTGAGCTGCGCCTCGTCCTTTCTGTTTTCTGAGACAGAGTCCTGCTGAGGCGTCTGCTCCCCGCCACCCCTGTCCTCCYCCCTGGTGACCCCTGCTCTTGTCTTGGTCACCGCTGTTCAGTGATTATGCCACTTAACATAATGTCCTCCAGGTCCCCTGTGTCGCTTGGCTGACAGGATGTCACTCATTTTTCTGGCTCATGCCGCCTCCTGCGCACTGACCACACCTCGGCTGTCACTCGTGGAGCATTTTGGCCGATTCGACGGCAAGATGAAGGCGAAGTCCCCTGCAGCAGAGGTCTGCGGTGGCACCTGTGGCCCGGGAGGCAGGGGCGGGAGGACGGCGGGGCCCAGGCGGCCAGGGCAGGAGGGAAGCCCCCTGAAGCAGAAGCTGAGAGACAGAGAGACCCAACCCCCCCCAACCTCCTCCAGAGACATGGGGGGGCCTGGGCCTGGCTGTGGGTGACAGGCTGCGCCCACCCCTCAGCCACGCGCCCCACACAGCCCGCTGCACAGCCTCCGGCCGGTTGGCTCCTAGGCACTGGCCCTGTGCCCTGCCGGCCAGCGAGCTCTCCAGGGAGCTTCTGGTTGGGGACCTTCTGTCCGCTGGCCTCGCTTCAAAGCACGGAGGGTGTCTTTTGGGTGCAGGGGACGCACACTTCCTCCCAGTCCCCTGCTGCCCGAGGCCCACTGACGGCGCGCTCCGGGAGCCTCCTGGTGCTGCACTCTGCCCCCGGGGGCTGCTGGACGGGGGCTGCCGCACCCTGAGCCACTTCCCAGCCCTGGATATCTTCAGACAGGGCCTCACTGAGTCGCTGAGGCTGAATTTCCCGTCCTMCTGCCTCAGCCTCCAGAGTCGCTGGAATGACGGTGTGGCCACTGCCGCCAGCTCGGGTGCTGGTGAGTCCCTTCCCTGAGGCCAGCAGAGCGTCAACAGCTGTTGTCCTCGGGGAGGGAGAGGTGACGTCTGTCCCCATTAAGGTCGGGTGGCCCAGGCCTGGCCTTCCTCCCCATGGGTCTCTACCGGAGGGAGGAGGAAGCCACTCACCCAAGGGCACTGTGTTCCCTGGAGTCATAAACGGGTGACAGCGGCGGCGGAGTCCAGAAGCCACATGTCACCTGCTTCTCCCCCACTGCAGGTGCCCTCACCCCAGCGCTGGGCCAACGTGGCCACAGGAACTCCCCAGGGAGAGCCGACGCGGAGGGGAGACACGGGAGGCCTGAGGCCAGGTCGAGGCCACCACGGGCAGCCAGGGGGGTGGACTGTCACAGGCCCCGGCACCGGGCAAACCTGCAGGTCCTTCTCTGGTGGGCGTCCTTGGCACCGCAGGGCACTGAGCAGCACTCCTGGCCTCCACCCAGGCCTGGACACCCCAGTAGCCACACCATGGTGTCCCCAGGCAGCACCAGGGTCCCCTGGGGGCCACTTGTATAATGCAAGTTACTGTCAGGGAGAAGCACCTCGGGCGCCGCAGCCCTCCTCCCCCTCCTCCCAGCAGGGAATGACCACTGGCCCATCAGGGAGCTAAGCCAGGTGTGAGGTCTCGTGAGCAAGGACGCTGCTGTCCACCTGGCACCCAGCCTTGTGCCCTGCGCCCAGAAGCCTCGATTTTGTCATCCATTCACCTGTTTCCAACAGCTCCCCGCTGTGTTCACTCCAAATCAAACTCCTTCCCACAGCCGTGGCCCCTGCAACAACTGCCTGTCCCCTCCCTGACTCCCTCCTCCTCACTCCAAACACCAGCCTCATCCCGCCCCAGGGCCTTGGCACGAGCTGTTCCTTCAGCCTGGCTCTGCCTCCTGCTCCCGGCCTCTCCTCTGGGGGGTTTTCCAGCCCCGCAGTGGCCCTCGCCACGTGTCTGCCCTCCTTCACCTGGTACTCGTCTGCGGCCACATCTAGCTTCTTCTTTACTGCTAGAGCCTAAAGCCGTGGCTGGCACACAGTAGGTGCTTAACAAGTGACAACTGACTGAGCACCTACTATGTGCTAGGTCCTTTCTGAGACACTGGGGACTCAGCACTGAGCCAGAAATTCTACCCTGGTCCCTAAGGAGCCAACATCCTAGGGAAGAGGGACAAGGGAAGACAAAAAACAAATACCATTTAAACTAGTTGAGAGTCTAGTCCAAGTGCCAACACGATAAAGAGGCGGAGACAGGAGTCCTCTCTATTGGGGGCAAAGATGGCTGTCAGTGGACTGAGCTGATTCATAAACAATGAACACGGGCAGATATGCCAACAGATGACCACAGAACAGGGAGGAGGGCGCAGGAGGGGAGTTCAGGTAGCTCGCAGTGCAAAGGCCCTGAGGCAGGAAGTTTAGCTCCATCGATGTTGACTAATGAACCACAGATGATTCTAGAAGGGCTTGACCGCAGGGATTCGACAGTGGGAGGCAAGGATCAGGCCGTCCCAGCTGGTCTTGGAGACTGGGCAGGAGGTTGGCAGCTCAGATGAGGGAAGGGAGCCCCCAGAAAAGGAACCGGCTTTGTTCCGACCTGGGGACAGGACTGTCCCAGGGACCGCGAGCTGTCCCGACCCAACGTCCGGTGACTGAAGAAAAGAGTCCCTGAAAGTAGGAAAAAGGTCACGGCGCGGCCCAGACGCCTAGGACTTTGGCCTTTGCCCACTGCAGGCTGGAGAGCACAAAACCCAGATAAGGAGATAACGGTCCGCGGCCCGCCCGCCGCCCGGGCCCCACTGGCCCTGGACCCTGTCCGTCTGCCCTGGCCGCCAATCAACGCCCGGGGCTGGGCCAGCGTGGCAGGGCCTATTTCAGCATCTCCTGGGGGTGGTGACAGGGCACAGCCAGGAGCCAGCGGGTGGGTGGGCCTGGGGCTGGCAGCGGAGACCCCGGAGTGTGGAGGGGCCCATGGACGGGGGCCTGGCTGTCGAGGTGAGTGGTGGCTCCGGGCCCTCTGCGGCGGCGGCCACTCTGCAGACGGTTCCCCGCCGTCCAGCACCGCGGCCCGCCGCTGCCCGGCTGCAGGGCGGAGGGGGAGACCGAGGCCGCGCCGCCCCCTCCTGGACCAGCCTTTCCCCGGTCCCCGCGGCCGCCGTCAGGTTCGGGGCCCAGCCCGGGGCTGAGCTGGGGGGTGCCCGAGGGGCTGGGACCTCACGCCRTCCCTCCGCCCAGATGGCCTCCCCCGCCTGCGCCGTGGGCCCCCTGGACAGCCTGGAGCTCCTGGACCTGCTGTTTGACCGGCAGGACGGCGTCCTCAGACACGTGGAGCTGGCCGAGCGCTGGAGCCCCGCGGGCCAGGTCCGCAGCCCCCGCAGCCCCCGCAGCCCCCGCAGCCCCCGCAGCCCCCGCAGCCCCCGCAGCCCCCGCAGCCCCCGCAGCCCCCGCAGCCCCCGCAGCCCCCGCAGCCCCCGCAGCCCCCGCAGCCCCCGCAGCCCCCGCAGCCCCCGCTCCCACCCAGGGACTCGTGGGGCGCTCCCACCCAGGGACTCGTGGGGCGCAGCCGCGGGCGCACAGGTGCCGGGCGGAGGCTCAGAGAGGGCAGGAAGAATCCAGGGTCGCTCAGCGATTTGGAACTCAGGCCACACTCAGCCTCGGGCCTGGGCCTCCCTCCCGGGGTGTTTCGGGTCACCCCGGCTCAGCGCGGACCCCAACTCCCGCCCTCCCTCTTCCTGGGGCAGGTGCGGCCGGGCTCCGACTCCGAGGACTTCCTGAGCGCCATCCTGGGCCCGGGAGACTCGGATCCCAGCTCCCCGATCTGGTCCCCCGCCGGCAGTGACAGCGGCATCTCTGAAGACCTCCCCTCTGACCCTCAGGACACCCCTCCCCGCAGCGGACTGGCCACCACCCCGGCCAGCTGCCACCCCAATGAGCCTGGCCAGGGGCCTTGCCCCTCCTACCTCCCTGGGCCCCCCTGCCCCGCCAGGCCCTCGGGCCCCCAAGTGCTGGAGGCCTCGGTGGCCATCGACCTGGGTGAGTGGCAGGGGCCACCCGCTGCCTTCCCTGCTCCTGGGCCCCCAGGGGTGCTGCTGGGCCACGGTGAAGATGGCTCTGGGCCGTCCAGGTCCTGGGCCTGCCTGGGGGAGCTCAGGGGAGAGCTGGGCCGTCCTGGCTGGAGAAGGCCTGATCAGATGGCCCCAGCAGATCAGTAATGACTCACTCCAGGGACACTGATGCCCTGGGGCCAGGCAGAGGGCCCCCTGGAGACAGGTGGCCGCTGGGCTTCCCTCTGTCCTTTGGTCTGGCGMGGAGCTGTGGGTCTGAGAGGTGAAGTCACCTGAGGCCACCGGCTCCACCCTGGGATCAGAGCCAGGAGCTGTTGGGGCAGCTGCCTACTGTGCGTGGCACCAGCAGGGACGGTGGCAGGCAGGGGCCAGCCTCACCCCTGTCCTGCGGGTGAGAGTGGCAGCGGGTCCCCGACCATGTCCCGTGTCTTCTTTGCGCCTTGGTACACCCAGGTGTGCTGGGGGGTCCGTCCCACAGAGGGGCGACCGCTGTCCCCTCAGCCAGGCCCCGGGTCCCAAGCTGTGCCAAGTGCCCCAGCCTGTGGAGGCTGCTCACGGAGACTGGGGAGGCCGCTAGGGCTGGGCGCTGCTGAGGTGCCCCTCTGACGCCCTCCCTGTCCCTGTCCCTGTCCCCTCCTGCCCCATCAGACGTGTGGACCACAGGGGGCCTGTACCCCGAGGAGCAGGCAGAGACGCCCTCCCGCTTCAACCTCACCGTGAAAGATCTCCTCCTGTCGGGCAGCGGGGACCTGGTGAGCCTCAGCCCAAGCCTGGGACATGGGGCAGGCGGGAGGGGACCCCACACCCAGCCCTGGCCGTCCAGCCCAGGATGGCAGGGCCGGGCCACTGTGTRCACACACAGAACCGGGAGAGGAAGAGGCCGGGAATCCTCATCCTTCAACCCGCAGGGGCCCTGAAGACGGCTTTTATTATCCAAATCCCACATTTAGGAAAATGGGCACAGAAGTCCCTAGCTCACTCCAAGCCAMCCGGCACCACAGGCTGTCCTAGCGCTGGCCTTGGTCCCGTTGTGCTCGCTGCACACCGGTGGGGGCCATCTGTCCTGCCCAGGGCTTCTCACCCCTGTCAGACAGACCCCCCATTTTACAGATGAGAAAGTCAAGGCTCAGAGAGGTGAAGCTGTGAACCTAGAGTCACACAGAAACCAAGTGGCAGAGTCAGGTTTGAAATCCCCTTTGTCTSCTGCCAAAGGTCATCCTGACAGTCTCCGGGGAGGGCCAGTGAGCACTGGCCACCTGTGGGCTTGCGTCCAGGTCCCCTGGTCAGGGTGAGGCAACGCACTGCAGGGAGCTCACAGAGTGTTCCTACAGGCGCAGGGGGTCCTCCTGGAGGCAGTGGTGCTGCAGCAGTCCCTGAAGGGTCGGCAGGGAGAAGKACTGGTTTGGGAAGGATTGTCCCGCCCTCGTGCTGGCAGGACCCTGGGGCTGGGGCCTGCTAGGCAGGTGCTCCACCCCGAGCTCCCAGCCCGGTCTGTCTTATTTTGAGACAGGGTCTTGTTAAGTTATTCGGGCCGGCCTCCAACTTGGAATCCTCCTGCCTCAGCCTCCTGAGTAGCTAGGACAACAGGAATCTGTCACCTCCCTCGGTGACGACTGGCTTTTATAAATGCATCATTTTTCATGTACTTTTTCTATGTCCACAGTCTTGGGGTCCTGGGGACCTTGTTCCTGTTTTTTCAGATGAAAGTAGACGCAGGCTGGGAGCCTGGCCGGGCTCACAGTGGCCAGGGTGCTGGCCGTGGAGTTTGGACCCAGCCCGGACCAAGACTGTCCCGGAGCAGTGATTCATGGGGTGGAAGCAACAGGAAGGGGCAGGGGGACAGCAGGCAGTGTCCCCAGCCAAGTGCCAGGCAGAAGGGACAAAGTCCAGCCTGCTGGGAGGGACTCTTCTGCGGCCCCTCGGAGGGGGAAGAGCGGGCGCTGGGGCAAGCTACGGGGGGCTGCCAGCTCACCTGGGGGACACGTGCCTCCCAGGAGGCCCCGAAACCCAGGGCCTCTCAGCCAAGATGCTGTGGGCAGGGCCGGGTGGGCGGAGCACCTTCCAGGACTGAGGTCCTCYATCCTCCATCCTGAGTCTCCCATTCTACATGGGACGGGTGGAGGCCAGCCTCCTGCCTCAGCCTCCTGAGCCGCTGGGACGACAGGTGTGCGCCACTGCGCCTGGCTAAACCGAGTCATTTTTGGGGAACAGGGTAGGCAAGTGCACCCACACAGCCTGGGCTCTAATGAGGGACGGTGTGAAGGGAGATGGCCACGCCTCCCCTGGGTGCYGCACTCAGCTCCCCGCAGGCTCTCCCCCTCCCCGTCCCCTGCCCGTCCTCCAGGTTTAAGCACAGGCCACACGGGGTGCCATCTGCCCTTCCTGTTGTTCCTGGCAYCCGTCACACGGTCACTGGTGTGGGGCTGGAGGACCCCGCCCTCTTCCTCTGCAGGTGTCCCCTGGCTGCTCCTGAGGCCACCGCCTCCCACCTCCAGTGCAATTCCTGTTTTTTCYGCAGCAACAGCAGCACCTGGCAGCCTCTCTGCGACCTGGCCACGGGCACTGTCAGGAGCTGGTGCTGACGGAGGACGAGAAGAAGCTGCTGGCCAAGGAGGGCATCACCCTGCCCACCCAGCTGCCCCTCACCAAGGTGGGAGGGACACCCAGCTCCCCTCCGAGTCCCACAGTAGACCACAGCACTAGAGGGTCAGGACGGTGGGTCACCAGCCGAATTCCACCCTGAAAGCCCACTCACAGCAGGTGAYGCTGTGCCCAGTGGTGACCCGCCGGCTGGCTGCAGGCTAAAAGCCCTCCTTGGTCCCGTCCAGTCCCGTCGTGGCTTGTCCCGGCCTCTCGGAGGTCAGAGCTCACACAGTGCCCCGCAGGCCAGCCGCCCTGCACRCGGCTTTGGTGGAGCCCCCTGATTCCACCAGCGTCCCCGGAGCTGACACTTTCTGAGATTTCCCCCAAGAGCGTCACTCCGCGGCCCTGTTCCCAGATCCCGCGGGCAGCCCCGAAGGCTGAGCGCCTGGTCAGGCCCCACGGATGGTCCCACTCGGTGTCAACACCCGAGTCCCCATTTCTCTTAACTGGGGCGGGCTCCGAGACAGGCGCGGTGTCCCCGGGGGACACGAGGCTGCACAGTCGGGGCGTCACTTGCTGGATCCTTGGGGTTGGGGCGTCCTGACCCGCGCAGCAGGGCCTCGGCACACTGCAAGAATGAGGGCGGCAGGCCGGCCTCCCCCCACCGGCGCCCGCCCCGGGGGTCTGAATGGAGGCCCCCCGACGGACAGCAGAGGGGAGCGCCCAGACGGCTCAGCCCTCCCCTTCCCTCTGCAGTACGAGGAGAGAGTCCTGAAGAAAATCCGCCGGAAAATCCGCAACAAACAATCCGCGCAAGAAAGCAGGAAGAAGAAGAAGGAGTACATCGACGGCCTGGAGACCCGGTAACGGCGCGGGGCTCGCGCTGGGGGAACTGAGGCTCAGAGAGAGGGACACCGGGTGCTGAGGGTCACAACTGCTAGGGCCTGTTCCCTACGAGGACTCAAGGATCCCCGGAGATGGCTCGGGCAAGGGTCCTGGGGTCCCTGTGCCCCGCGGCGCTGGAGAGTGGTGCCGCTTCAGCCCTGAGAGCACTGGCCTCGGGAGGCAGAGGAGGACCGCGCTGTCCCAAGGGGAGCCCCGAGCTGGCCCCTCGCCCCTCTGAAGGCGCTGAGGGGCCGCAGGGGCCGGGCTCTTGGTCCTTTGGTACGAACAGCAGAGGTCGCCCCCTCTCCGGGCCCACAGTGGCCCTGCTGGGTGCTGCGGGTCTGTTTGGGTCCTGGGAAGTCCTCGTGGCACACGGAACTGCCCCTACCCTCTGCTGTTTCAGGCTCTGACGTCCACGTCTGTCGTCACGTCCTCATGTGGCCTACTTGTGCCTTCTTCTACTTTTTGATCAGTCTTCCCAGAATTTTGTCTGTTTTCTTCTTCTTGTCAAATGACGGTTATTGAAATGACTCCTGACCAAGGTTCCCATCAAATAATAACTTTCTGTCTTTTCTTCCCAACTAATTATACACGTATGTAGGTGAAATTTGGCACTGGGGCGGAAACCCAGGGGCAGGTGATTTGCCACTCAGTCACATCCCCAGAGCTTTTTAAAAAATATTTTATTTTTCAGTTACAGTTGGACACAACACCTTTATTTCATTTAGTTATTTTTATAGGGTGCTGAGGACCAAAACCCAGGGCCTCGTGCTACCGCTGAGCCACAACCCCAGGCCCTCCCCAGCCCTTTTTGTTTTTTTGTTTTGAGACAGGGTCTCACTAAGTTGCTTACAGCCTAAATTGCTGATGAATTCGCAATCCTCCTCCCTCAGTCTGAGTCACTGGGACTACAGGCATGCACCACCGTGCCTGGCCACAGCCTCTAGTTTTTGAGGGACTTATTCTGTTGTTCTCTGACTATTGTTTTTTTTTTTCTGACTATTGTTTAAATGTGCCTGCTCACTGCTCAGCTCTGGGGCTGGATCAGGGCTATGCATTTCCCTCTCGGCACTGCATTAGCTGCATCCCACCTTGAGGGGGTGTGTGGACCGAGGGTCTCCCACATGCTGGGCAAGCATTCCTCCACTGACCTGCACCCCCAGCTCTTTATAAACTTTGAGACAGGGTCACACTGAGTTGCCCAGGCTGGCCTCAAACTTGGGAACTTCTTGCCCAGCCTCGTGAGTGGCCAGGACGACAGGTGTGCATCACCAGGCCTGGTTTAAAGGAGCATTTCCACTGGGGGAATTCATTCCTTTCCGGTTGCTATGTTGGGCCTACTTTCTGCAAAGGGACTGTGGACCCTTATGCACCTCCCTGCAGAACAGCACACRACCCATCTGCTTCCTATGGGGAAAACAAGCCGAGGGTCCAAGAGTCTCTGGCCTCAAGAGGAGGATTCTCCCTTGGGAGCCCGTGTTCMCGCTCCCCGTTCCCGGTGCTGGGTGCACCCCTGCCCTGGGGTGGAGACGGCTGCGGCCCACCTCGTGCTCATCCTCAGCCCAGTGGGACACTTCAAGTCCACACCCGAGTGTTCTGACTTAAGGCCACCGATGCTGATGGGGAACATGGGTGCCAGCCGCACCCAGGCCAAGATGGGRGCTTGCCTCTGCCCTCTTCCCCGCTTCCCCCCGTGGTGCTGGGGTGGAAGGTGGGCCCTYGTGCTCAGCACCTGCCTGCCRCCCAGCCTGGAGGGGCTGCAGGTCGCGGAGGGCCAGGGCTTCAGCTGGGGTCTMCAACTCTGAGCCTGGCACTCAGCCCTGGGGCTCGGCCGCGGTGGAAGTCCCACCCCACGGGGACCCGGAAACCGACAGACCTGGGCTCCCGACCTGGCCCTGCACAGGTGCCCAGGCGTGTGTTGTGGTCCCCAGCTACCAGGGGACTGAGGCAGGAGGCCTTTGCTCTCTGGCTTGGGGCCTCCCAGGGAAACATCAGTGGGGACAGTTGGTGACAGACAAATTCTGCAAGTCACCAGGTCATTCATTGTTCCTTCAGGATGTCGGCCTGCACTGCCCAGAACCAGGAGCTGCAGAGGAAAGTCCTGCAGCTGGAGAAGCAGAACCTGTGAGTCCACGTCCGGGGTTGGGGGGGGGCGCAGGAAGTGGGGAGGGTGCCACGGGGCAGGGAATGAGCCCCAGCTCGGTGGGCGCCATCTGTGCAAAGGCCCTGGGGCAGAGGAGGTGGGGGAAGGAGGCGAGGCAGGCTGGGAAGGGCCCCCTGGGCCACAGGGAGGACTTGGGCTTTGGCTTCATAGTGGCCAAGCACCCCCTGGCCGTGTCTGAGCCTGAACGCAGGAGAGGGGCAGGAGAGCCGCGGAGGCCACAGAAGAGCGGGGTGGCCTTCTCGTGAGCCATGATGGAGGCGGGCGGGGACCCTGAGGGAGGGTGGAACCCAGACTTCGGTGAGGCTGGGGCCTGGGGAATGGGCAGGAGCAGGGCCAGGCCCCGCAGGCTCAGCCGCCCCTGTCCCTCCGAGGTCCCTGCTGGAGCAGCTCAAGAGGCTGCAGGCCATGGTGGTCCAGTCCACCACCAAGTCTGTGCACACGGGCACCTGCACCGCGGTGAGTCCTCTCCCCTGCCCGCGGGCGGGGCAGGCAGGTCCCGGGGAGGGGTCTGCAGGAAGTGATGGCCAGCACAGCGCTGGGGTCCCGGCCTGGCCTCCCTCCCTGTGGAGGGGACGCAGGTGACCGCCCCTCTCTGGCAGGTCCTGCTGCTGTCCTTCGCCCTCATCGTCCTCCCCTCCATCAGCCCTTTCRCCGCCAACAAGGCCGAGAGCCCAGGGGACTTCGCTCCCGTGCGAGGTGAGTGCCTGCCCCCACCTCTTCCTGGTGCACCCAGTGTCCCGAGGCCGGGGGCCGGGGAGAGGGCCACAGGACTCTGCCCCCACGGCGTCCCTCCTGAGTCCCCCAACTCTGCCCAGTCTTCTCCAGGACGCTGCACAACGATGCCTCGTCCCGGGTGGCCCCGGACGACGATCTGGCCTCCAAGGCCCCAGGCCCCCGGCCGGACCCTGCTGTGCCCCACCAAGGGCCCCCRGGCGGCCTTGGGACGGACTGGGGCTTCCTGGACATGCTGGCACTGGGCGGGTCAGCAAAGGAGCTGGACAACTCGACCCTGGTTCTGGGCAACTCGACAGAGGAGCTGGGCCCGGCCACCCTGCTGGACTGGGTGGCACCTGAGCAGGTGCTCAGCACAGGACGTGCGGGGCTGGAGGCGGCCGGGGAGGAGCTGTGAGAGCCCAGGCCACCTGGGGGAGCCCAAGTGGACGGCAGGCCCAGGGAGCAGAGGCGAGGCAGGCCCTGGTGGACAGCTCACTGCGGGACAGACGGGAGCTGGCCTAGGTGTGGCCGCAGCGCCCCAGGCCCAGGGCTGGCCGCCGGCCGCTGCTCAGCCCCAGGCAGCGCAGATGGCGACCTGCGCCTGGGTGCCCCTCGGCCTCCCTGCTCATTGGGCAGAGGAAGCTGTCCAGCTCAGGGACCCTGGACTTCTGAGTGGCCGCCACCCACCACCACCCCTTTTCTAAGAYTGTGCGACCGACCTTCAATAAAGTATTTTGACAGGACACGGCTGGGGGGCTCAGGGGACCTGGGGGTGGAGTGCGGCCCCCGCCTGACGGCTTCAGCACCTTGGAGAAGGGCAAGGGCCGGGCRGGACCCTGGAGCCCAGAAGGGGGACCTGGGGACGGGGACCTGCTGCGAGGGGCTGCGCCGCGCACCACATGGGCCTCGTCCTAAGATGAGAAAACCAGGTGGAGGTCACAGGCGGGGAGCGGGGACAACCCGACCAGCGCCACCCCCACCGGCTGCGCAGGGGTCTCTCTCGTCCAGGGACACGCCCCTGGGGACAGAGGGCGTAACCAGGGCCAGGGGCTGCAGGAGCGCCCCCCCAGCCCCAGGATGGCAGGTCGGGAGGGGCGAAGCCGTCCCCTGTCCCCAGGGTGCTGCGCCAAGGGACTGCCAGGCGCCCAGCTGCGAGGACTCTGTCTTTATTGCGTTGAAGACCTGGGGAGGCCCGGGACCCTCTCCCCGCAGCCCTGCCCTCAGCGGCGGGGCGGGGGGGGGGGGTCCCGGCTCCCCGTGGGGGTCCCTGAAGGTGGCCTTGGGAGGCAGATCAAGAGCTGACGGGGAGGGAGTGTGCGGAGTCCCCAGAGGAGCCCAGGGCCAGGGCGCTCCCCCTTGAGGCTGGAAACTGGGGAGGAGGGCGTCTGCACCCGCTCCCACAAGTCCTGAGTCGGAGGCTGGCCGTGGTGGGCGGCGGGCCCGGGTGRCACTGCGGGCCCAAGAGCCAACCCGACAGTGGAGGCCACCGCCCTGGGCCTGGAGTCCGGCTCTCAGCTCCCTGAGGTCCCCGGGGACAGGGACAAGTAACAGTGAGACCGTGAGGAAGAGGAGTCCAAGGTTTCCATGGGGGCCCGGGCCAGCGCCTGGTCAGCTGGGTGCCGCCTCGGCCTTCACCCTCTTGGGAGGCCGGCGGGGGGCAGGGCTGTCCGGCGGCTCCCTCTTGGGGCTGGGGGGCTTGCAGCCATTGTGTGGGGCCCGGGGCTCCACGCTGGGCTCCGGCCCGGGGTCGCTGGGGGGCTCCTCCTTGGGCTCCAGCTTGGGCRCCGGCGGGCGCGGCAGGGGTGGCAGGGCCCTGTCCAGCACGCGGGGCCCGTCCCAGGCGGGGATCTCCAGCCCCAGGTGCTTCATGAGCCGGGTCATGACCTGGTCGACGTAGCCGTGGATGCGCAGGTCAGCATGCCGGTCCTGTGGGGAGAGCAGGGTCAGGCGGGGCAGAGGCCCGGGGCCCGGGCAGGGGTGGGCTCGGCACCTACGTGCTTGGTGGGCTGCAGGTTCACGATGACCAGCCGGCCTCCCCGGCGCTTGGTGGCCAGCGGCAGGTTCCCACTGGGCCGGATTTGCAGGGAGGTGCCCAGGGTGATGGACAGGTCGGCGGTCCTGGGGCCAGGAGCACAGGCTCAGTCCAGCCCCGCCCAGGAGTCCGCCCGCCCGAGTCCCTGCCCCCCTGCCACCCCCACCCGGGCACAGGGGTCTCACCTGCTGGCCTCGTCGGCTCGAGCCAGGTCCCGGTCGGGCAGGGCATCTTCCCAGTCCAGGATGGTGTCTCTCAGCTCCCCCCTGTGGGCAGTGGAGGGTCAGCCGGCCCCCTGGCCCCCGGGGCTGGGGGGTGGGGAGGGTCACTCACCTGCAGGCCCGCAGCCCTCTCGCCTTGGCCATGGTGCAGAGCCGGCCGGTGGCCTTGAGGCCCATGGTGCCCACGACCGTGTCCCGGACATACTGCCTGCGCCAGGAGGAAGGAGGCAGGACAAGGGTCTCGCGGGCCGCCCTGAAGCCCCGGGCAGCGCTGGGCTTTCTCCGAGACGCTCTCGGGGAAGGGGTCCCTGAACCGGGACCCCAGCAGGAGGAGTCCGCAGACGGGAGGGGGTGGGCCCTGTGGGAGCCCCGCAGGGGACCAGGAGAAGCCCGGTGGCCAGCGCTCGCCTGGCACGAGCCAGCCAGGCCCTGGGTCCTTCCCCGCGCGCAGAGCCACACCAGAAGCCAAGGCTCTGCACTCGGGAAGGGCTGGGGCACCCGAGTCAGGGCACTGGACGGAGGTCTGCAGCCAGCCACTTGGAAGGTCAGCGGCCAGAGTGGGGGTCACTCCCTGTCGTGGGCTGGGCTGTGTCACCCAAAAGGACCTGCTGAAGCTTAAGCCCAGTGACCCAGAGGGTGACCCTGTCTGACAGCGGGGTCACTGTGGGTGTGGTCAGTGGAGACAAGGTCCTACCAGAGGAGGGGGACGGCTGGTCCTCCAAGAAGGGAGAAGACACACAGGAGACAGCCATGTGACCTTGACCACGCGGGCAGCGGYGGGACCACCAGTGTCCCCGGAGGGCCGTGCCAGGCCTCCCACGCCCCTGGGTCTCCGGGAGCATCAGACTGGACTCCCAGGGCCCCGGCAGCTGGGTCACTGTCACCAGCTCTCCCAGCAGCCTGCTGTCATGCACAGCCAGCCTGTCCCCCCGACACCCACAGCCAGCCTGTCCCCCCCACCGATGACACCCACAGCCAGCCTGTCCCCCCCAGCCCTGCCACTCACGTCCTGCACTTGACACACTCTTCTACAAACATGTTCCCGTGCAGCTCAGCCAGCTTGTCCCTGTGCGAGAGGAAGGAAGAGGCTGCCGGGGGGCTCCCTGGGTGCCCAGGCCCCGCATCCACAAGACCAAGCCAGTCCCCCCACCTTCCGGCCCATCCATGCGCTGTGCATCCCTGCACAGCGGCCCGACCTCTCTGTGCCTCTCTCACTGTCCTCATGGCTGACCCCACCTCTGCAGACGGGCAGCCTTTTTCTTGGTAACGTGCCTGCCCCCTTCCAAAGTGGAGGAGGCTGCCGGGCCGCCCGGTGGAAGGACAGGGTTGGGATTCCAGCTGGCCACGAGAGAAATGTGGCATGCCTGCCCCAGAGCACAGGCTGTGGGGCAGGGAGAGAGCAAACCTGCTGAGCAGCCCTGAGCCAGCCTCTTACCCTCTCTGTGCCTCAGTCCCTCTCTGTGGAACGAGACAGTGACAACCAAGTCTTTGGATGTCAAGGGTTCCAAACAAGAGGCGTGSCAGGTGCTTCCCTGTGGCTCCCCTGCCACCTCCCGGGGTCCCTGCTGCAGTGCCACCTCCACAGGGGAGCCCTGCTGACCGCCCCTTCACAGCCACAGTTCCCAGCGCCCCACTGTGTGCACTCAGGATGGGGACCCCCCGACACAGGTCCAGGGACCCCACTTCTGCCCCACCGAAGCACAGGCCCTGGGACACAGGGAACAACTGCCATCTGTCTGGTCCACTCCATGTCCCGCACTAGAAGAGCCTGGCACGCAGTAGGAGCTCAATAAGTAAACACCTGCGCTGGGGCCAGCTTGCTCCTGCGTGTGAGGGCTGGCACTGGGAGCCTGGGTGCAACTGTGTGCCCAAGAGGCCGCCTGGGTGTCTCTGTGCCCCGTCCAAGGCCCATCCCGCRTGCTCAGGTGTGGCATCCAGGCCTGGCCTGCAGCAGCTCAGGCTCCGTCCACCCACAACCACAGGGTCTTGGGGCAGGGAGGGCACTCGGGTGTGGACCAAGTCTGGGCTGCAGCAGGGCTCAGGGGCAGCGCCAGGACCTGGGCTCCGCCAGCACCAGAAAGGAGGGCATCTTGAAACCAAGCAAGCAGCAAGCTCAGGACCCGCCCTGCCACCCGGCACACCTGAGGGGAGTCACACCTGAGGAGGTCACACCTGAGGGGAGTCACACCTGAGGGGGTCACACCT